ATGATTAAAAATTGCAACATGGCATTGTGACAATGTCACAATAAATAATTGATTGTCGTATTATGTATAAAGGATACCTCGACTTACACTACCCCAACTGACACAAACCCGGAGTTACGTGATTTTCAAATCTTGTTGATTCATCTTTTGTTTGAGCACCACGCAACTCTTCATTACTCATTCCCCCCACACTATTGTTCAGCTTACATGTTCAGACGTGTCGTGCGGAATCGACACATAGCTACAATTTATTTTGTGTTATTTATTTCTGTATTTGTTATATCTACGAAGACTTGAGAGACTATGTGGTGATTTCTTGTAATGTGAACGAATCAAAAGATGAGATAAGATTAACAAGAACATTTATTAGCTTACATACATCCGACTTGGATTTTACAAAAATTGAGAAATTATACCTGACTTACGCGGTTATCGCTCAGTCCCACTTATCGCAGGTATTACTGTATTTTGAAAGCTAACTTTATATCAATTTTTTACAAGCAATATTGTATGAATCTTACTAGACTATATTTTTATATAATTATTTTATTTAAAAGCAAGCAATAATGAATTATTATAAGACAATAAATAAAATTCTTACCTCCAGCATATCTGTAAATAGGAACATGGTAATCATGTCACCCTTGTCATTAAAGTTATCTTCCATTTCTTGCACTTCTATTTCCACGATAAAACTACGATGTGAAGATAACAAATGAGCCTAGAATTCAAACAAACAGTTCTGTTGTAAATTTAAAATTCAAATCTAATCAAAATAACAAGATTTTAATGAAAGTATGACGAGAAACATTCGATTCTAATTCTTTCATGTAGTGTTCAATACCAACAAGCACATACAAACTGTCTATTACTCCTAAGAATCCAAAATGATTCTTAGCATATACTTTTTTCAGAAGTAAATTGATATTAATTACTTCAAAATTGACATGACAAAGGAAGAATAACGTAAATCTTAATAATTTGTCTATATCCATTTAAGTAATTTGTCACACTTAAGTTAAGATTTGTTAACAACAAAAATTAAAAATAGTTTTGTAGTAAAAAGTTTTAAAGGGTTATCCACTGCCTTCATTAAACAGTAATGATAATAGAAAACATCTCAAGATAATTTAAATAATTATTGGATCCATATAATATGCAAAATTTTGACCAATATTAATATCAACTCTTGATATTTATAACAATAATTTATTATCTTGTGAACTTTCAGATGCTCACACACACACGTGCAGATATTCTTGTGTTTGGAAAATAATGCACCACAGGAATGCCCGATAAAGAAAGAATGCCGTCCGGCAAGGCACCGATGATGTCGGTGCTGGATGGCATTCTTAATATCGTCGGGTGCTTGCACAGTGCACATGATAACCTGATGGGTAGTTGCACATACCACCCGTCCGATGAGTTTGCAGACTTTACAGTTGCATAGTGCTTTCAAAAACTGCCGACATAATTCCCAATGTCTATTTTCAATAATTAGTAATAAAGATGCACATTGCAAGCATCCATTGTTATAGTAATCATTTATATCAGATTGCTAAACATTCAAAAAAATATAAGAAAGCGTAACACAAATACATAACATTTGGTACTGTCAAACAATCTGCTAAATTAATTATTGGTTTACATCGGTGGTTCCCAACTTATTTTTATTGTGGAATCCTTTTCACCTTAGTGAAATATGTTGAAACCATGACAATTTTTAATGATTGTAGATAAAACAGCAAACAGAAACATCAAAATCAATTTATTGAAAATGATTTTGAATTTAGCAAATTACTTTTTTTTCCATTTTGTGACGAGTATCACACAAAAAATAATAAGGAATTTAAGCATATGTAGAAAATAAATCATAAAGTAAAGAATGAAAACAATGAACTTTGTTTTATTTAGCAACATCATCTATAATCTGCTTTAGTACAGAGTGACTATTAGTAATCAAACTAGAAACAAGAATAATTGCTATGCAAATTTGAAACCATTTAGCTTAGCTATAGTTTTGCATATCAATCGTGCATGTAACTCTACTGAAGTAATATTTTTTGGAAACAGTTACTTCGAAAGATAATTTTTCTAGTTTTACCTTATGGTTTTAACTTAAAATGACAAACTTTAAAAACGTACTTACAGGACAATTTTCAATGTCGTTGACTATGTCGAACATCACGACTTGACTTTCGGTTTTTCGTTTATTCTCATTAATATGACTATAAAATTAACAGCAAATTGAAAAATAGCACATTAAGTTTATTCATTTAAGAATTAAAAACAAAACTTTGTTCAAAATACAATTTTGTTGTATTTTTATACACAATTCAAATTCAATACTTAAAACTTTAAAAACCATTATGAACAAAATACATATATATATATACATACATATATATATAAATGCCTAAAAGGCAAGAGACAAAAATGAAAAATAAATATTTATTTGCCTTTCATTTTTCTCTCTTTTCACTCTGAAGACACTAAGAGCCTTACTGTAGGGCCACAGAGGCCCACAATAAGACAGCAATTGGGTGTATAAATACTGAAAGAGGAAAAAAATGAATCAAACAAAAAAAAAAAAAATTGTTTTTCTCACTATATAAAGCATACAGCAGAAATTTTTATTCTAAATCAAAAAACACTATCCAAAATTTCTACATTAGAATTTAATTAATTAATAATCCATAAATTTGAATCAACAAGCAAAGATATCAATAGCGGATAACATATTATCGGCATTAAAAATTTAAAAATTATTAAATTTCATATATCAGATTGATTATTAACACACACAATAACTATTGGTAGATTAGCACACTTGTCTATAAATTTCCATGGATCAGTGTTAAACTAAAATGTATTTTCTTCCCCACCGAGATACTTACTTTGTAACTTCTTTCAAAGACAAAATTGCTTTCTGTAAAGCAGCGTGATCTGGATTGCTTTTTTGGGTGTGTTTCAAAATATCTGTAGAAGGTTTTAAATAAATTAGTGTACATCAATTAAATAATTTAATCATCAAAATACACACAGAGTAAAATAAATTTAAGTTATTAAACAATTATAATTAAACCATTCAAAGATTTTGATTGACATTTTATGTCATCAAACTTTGTCAAGACTTGTAATAAGTAATTCTGATCCAATTAAAAATCAATCATCAATACTTTATATTTTACCAATAATAACCATGCATGAAAATAAAATTAAGATTTCATATAAAGACGAATAAAATTAATGCTTTGAAATAATTTGGATTATTGGAAATCTATCTTATGTGAAACAATATAAAACTTAGACTACTCCAGCTTTTTACAAATATTTTGTATTCCTTAATATTACAGTTCATTTTATTATATGGTTTTACATTTATTGAAATTCCTAATAAACTTCTTGCATCATTATATTTTTCTTTTATATACACATAATTATACATGCAACATTATATAAATCTAGTAATCATTATATCTCTTCAATGCACAGATTTACAGTATGCACGATCTGGCAATAACTTGACTATTACTGTAAAGTTGCAATTATATCCTTTTGTAGCTATTAAAACGATTATGTAATACTACACTTATGTAATACCTTATGTAATACTATGATTATATAATACCTTATATAAAACATGAAATTTTTATCCCTATGAGAAAACAATACAATGTATTTTTGTCAGGAGGCCGATGTTACCAGATATGCAACTGGGAAATCTTATATTTTCATTCAAGTGAAAATGATAGATTCTGTAGGTAATAGTAAACGATGATTCTGCTCCATAAATATAATGGAACTTTTTTAAATGTGTGAGATTAGATATGTGACAATAGAAATTATTTAACAACAAGAGAAGAGAAAATTGGTAATTCTTTTCACATACATTTGTATTATGCAATGTTAGTATTGTAGTAATCAAATATGATCTTGAATAAGTTTGGTTCATAGTCAAATTTATGAATTCTTGATTGAAGTCAAAATGAACACAACAGAAAAAATTATTATTATAGTTGACTTCTCATAGTAGTGTCTAACCTGTTTCTGTCTTTTCCTGTTTTTATGTGCATCATATTTTTGCAGAGTAACCAGCATGCCACAAAAATGGGTTACCGGCATGCTGGTTAAACTGCAACTAAAATATAAAATTAACCAGATCTAACAAAAGTAGTTATTAATTAAACATTAAAGAAAACATTTTATAGATGTTGCAAACATTGTAATTTGACTGACTTAAAATCAGTAAGAGTGTTTTCCTTTACAAGGCAATAAAAGAATTAACAACTTATTGACAGTAGTAGTAAATCAGTGTGAGCTACACTGACCTTAAAAATAACATCTTCCTCTCAAATTTCATACAAAGCCCATGTTAATTGGTGTAAGCTGAGATAATTTATGCGAGTTTCTTAAATTTAAATATGTTTATTTTTGCATTTTTGAATCAAACAACAATAAAATATACATAAGAGAAGCATTTTTCAAATTCCACGAGTATTGTATGTAGTTAGAAAGAAGACAAAATGAAATTAAGCATATAATCGTAGTTTTTTTTTATGTAATGCTGACAGTTTCACAATTTTAGAATAAAAACATTCATTTTTACATGACGTAACTCATTTGCTTTTTAATGCAACCTCTAGAGAGGGACGTATAACCTCACTTAAACTGACATGTCGGTTTTTACCATACAAAAATATCTGATTTTGTGGTCTTCCCGGATAGACCGACATACCGGTCATTCTCTAAAAATATGCTATTACCATGTATTCCTGTGTTTTACCATGTTTATTTCTGATTTGTATGAACAATCCCAGAGATTGAAATCTATTGATATGCCAGTCTTTGGCCAACCAACTAATACCCTTCAGGTTATCTGGGATCTGGAAATTTTGGATTATTTTGCAATTAAAACAATATTTGAACTTTTAATTAAGACCATCTACGTCACCAATCCGTCAGGTTTTAGTTTGACTCTGAAGAGCCATAATTAATGAAAATTCTAAATTCTCATGTAACTGAGAATGACTAAGGCTGAAAGCACATATTTTGCAAATATAACAAGATTTAATATTTTAAGAAAATGTAAGTAGCTGCAAGTAGTTAATCTAAATATTTACCAAAATTTTACTATTTTTATCTTTCATTATCTTGTATTGTTATATCATGTAAATGTATCTTAATTAAAGAAAACCAATATATTTTATTTATTTTTATCATTAATCTAGTTATATATCTAGCATTAATATAACAATTATCTGTTTAACATCTTAAAATATTTAGAAACATTTAGATATAAGAATTATTTAAGGTTAAAGGCAAGTCGTTAGTATTTAAATTTCATAGCAAGCATTTTATTTAAATCATCTAAGAATTTGAAATTGTTTTCTATTTTATTTCTTAGTTTACTGGACTTTGTTTCCTATTCATAAGATAGTAATATCTATTTATAACTTACAAACCAGTTCTAAGGCAAATAGATAATTCTAAGCAAAATAACAAGAAATTTAACTTACCATTTAACAATAATATCATACTGGGTAATCTTTGAACTGGGCGAATCATTAACTCGTCTAAAGACTGTCTTCCACATTCGGGTTTACTCTGACATCTCTAACAATAACAACTTTGCTTTTATAAAATTAACATATTATTATAATAAATTTAATTTGAATAATATAATATAAAATTCATCAAATTAAACTTTTTAGTCACATCATCGGAATATATAAAAATAATTTATAATGTTAAAGTAAATCACACCTTTTCCACCACCACACCTTGTTATCAAAAAACACTTTGGATCCCTTTTGGAAGCCTGTCACAGGTTTTAAAACAGATATAATTCAAATGTTTAAACGAAGTTTCCTCTCAGTTTGAACTATGTCCATTTAAAACTTGAAGCAGGCCTTCTAAAAGCAATCAAAAACATTTGTTTTAATAAAGAAGTGTGGTATTGAAAAACGTGCAATTTTCTTTCAGTTGGTTCCAACTTTAATAGAAGTGTCTTTTGAACATTAAGTTAATTCATTTTAAAGCAATGACAAAAAAATTTAAGCATAGTAGTAGTTCATTTGAAATATTGATAGTACTAAAATTATATATAAAAAATAAAATTAAATGTAATAATTAATTACTACATTTTAATTTTATTCAATTTTGAATAAACTAAAATAAAGACAGAAATTTTAACTACAAACTAAACACACTTATAGGAAACGGTTATGATTGATGTAAATTTTGTAATAATAGTTTAAAAACATGTTTTAACTTTATTTATTTGAAGCAACTTATTATTTTTATATTTACCTTACGTGAAGTTTATCTGGTTTAAACTGTACGCCATTTCAAATTTTTAAGATTATTTGCATTAATATATTTATGTTGGGTTTAGTTTTCAAATTTTTATTCTTCAGTTTATCATTCTAGAAAATATATAATCCACATAAACAATTTTTCCCACATTCTTGCTTGACTAAGAGGGCCTTTTCTTCCATACCCATCACAGACCTACAATGAAGGTGGCCAGGCAACGTGAAAGACAAGGTTCAAAATATCTGGGACTAACCACCTGTGAAAAATTCAAAAGAGCCGCTCATGGAAATTGAACCCTGGCACCTGGAGTGGTAGGTCAAAGTCTTAACCATCTTGCCCTTATCACCACCAAATATTATTTTTGTGGTTTAAATTTTTTAAATAAATTTTTTTTTGGTTTGTTTACTGATATTTCTAATATTTTTCTATCTGTTATATTCAAAATAATGAAACATAAAAACCAAAATGGCAAGCAAATGATAAAAAAAAATATGAATTTTAGTCAATCTATTCTCAGATTTCAACATTATCCAAGATTACAACAAATTGCATCTTTTACATAAATATATAAATATATGTTGACAAATTCTAATACAAAGAAAATACATTTAATTATTTTCTAAACATAGTAAGGCATTTTATAACAAAAAGACTTCTTACTTTTAAAAATGCGTGAAATCTCGGTTTAGTTTGATCACAATGGATTAACACTTCCTTAGTTTTTTCAAAATAATTCACAAATGGTGGATAAGCTTTTAAAAAGTCTTGAGACTATCAGAGGAAAAAAATAATGTATTATAACATGTTATATATTTTAAGATAGTAATAAATTAGACTTACGTATTTGAGAATAATATTTCCAACACTTTTATCTTCTTTCCAATTTTGTAATAAAATATATAAATCTTCGCGCAATTTGGTATGTACTTCGTACAAAGGTGGAATGTTTCCGAATATTATTTTCAATTCGGTTCCGTCTAGTAATGCTCCTCCTACTTGATCGGGTTGTTCGAGAGGTTCTTTAAACATCTTAGTTTTATATACAGATTGAAAAAAAATTAATAAAATGTTTATGAAAATAATTTAAATAATAAATCATATATTTGTGATATTCTTAAGATTTTTATAAAATGTATGGCATTACTGCAAAATTTCTGAAAAAAATTAGACAATCCATTTTTGATTTATAATACTCAATAGTTAAATTATCAAAGTTCTGAATATATACAGGGTGTTTATAAATAAATGGTGTGGTTTTAAAAATTAATAATAAATCTATTTATTATCTTATATGGGCAAACCTTACAGCATAAGCAGCGGCAACTGGCCAAGTTTTTTATGCATTAATCACAATCCTTCAATATGTGCACCCATGGTCACACGACACACATCTACACGGTGATCAAATTCTTCCCATACGCAGTGTAGCATGTCCTTTGTGATGTTCTACAATGCATAACAAGCGAAGAGTGGGTAGTACATAAAAAATTTGGACAATTGCAGCTGCTTATTCTGTACGGTTTGCCCATATAAGGTAATAAAAAGATTTTTTATTAATTTTTAAAACCACACCATTTATAAACACCCTGTATATTTATTTATTCTCATTGCACCACATGCATGCACACAAACAATTGTAAATTAATGAACAACCTCAAGTTGAATAATAGTGTGTCTAAAGAAAATTTTTAATTATATTATTATTTATTATTTGAAATGTAGTATTTGATGGCAATACGAGCCATGTATTTACCGTAACAATAGTTTTCAGAATACCAACATAATTAGTTTCGGTCTGCAATAATTCTGTACAAACTTGCTGCCTGGGTGTCATAAGTTTATAATCTGCAATGGGCTTTAATGGACTTAAATGAGAACTTTCTAGAGGAGAACCTATAAAATAAAAAGAAAAATTTGTGTATAAATGTCCATAAATACATTTTTTTTTATTCAACAAAATGTAATCTATATTTCTGTTATTAAATATTACATAAAATCACATATATAAATAATTTAGATTAAAAAAAAATAGCATTAAAAAAAAAATGAGTTGCCTAACTTTCCTAGCTGCTATGAGATTTTATTTTAAAAATCACTTCTTAGTTATTAAACAAATAAAATTATACATGATACCATCTATTATGAGATTTTGTTATAAAAACTTTGCTATTTTATAATAATTAAAATTATATAAAGGACTTAATTTTGAGGGTGGAGATGAGTTTTATAAAGGTCTGTAAATGCTAAGAAGTAAAATCTTCATTAAGCCAACCCCACATGACAAATGACACAAAACCACTATCTCCCCTCCTCAACCTTTCATCACCGAAATTTAATAGCATCAATGACCCTTATACATAAGCTTCTATGCTAAATTTTGTTTCTTAATTTTCACTCCATTCTGAGATATTAAACAAAATAGATGCCAACACACACACACACACACGGATATTTTTTATTTTTTTGGAGTTCAGGGGGCCTCAAAACATGGAGATTTGTAAAAAACTAGAAGGATATAATTTGAGACGATTCCGATACTTTCCCTTGTTAAGTATACATAACCAGGAAAATAAAAGAACTACAACATTACCCTAAAAATAATCCTTGTATAATTAAACCTAATTAATATATACTGGAGTGTGACAGTAATACATGACAAATCGTATTCTTAATTTGGAAATATATATTAATGAATCTTCAAATTCCAAGTGGTGCTTTCAGATATTAGCAATAAGTTAATCTTCAATTAATTCTCAGTACTACTAACTAATATAATGCAGCAATTGACTTATTCAATAGCATATTTAAAACTATTGCAACATACGATCCAATTGAAAGAGAACAAAATCAGATAAATTTGTTATAAAGGTTGTAAATTTCATGACTATCTCTTAGCACAGAGATATTTGACTAAAAAAAATTAGAACTAGCAATTATAATGGGCAAAAAATATTAACAAATATCAAAATTATAATCACATTAAAAGTTTGGCTATTTTAGGTCAATTTTAGGCTGTGTGTAATATCAAATATCAATGATATAATATCTAAATCATCAATTGAATGCAATTAAAAACTCTCTCTATACATATAATTTTTTAAATTATTATTGGAAAGTACCTAATTTAAAATAAATTAGTTGTTAAAACAAAGCATACCTATTGAAAATGAAACGTCCGGCGAATATATACCATCAAATGTCGACGAATTAATTGTGGAATTATTTCCATCGGCATTTTGTAATTTGGACGGCTGCAGTGAATTTTCTTTATCCAATGATAACAGATAAGTAGCATCTCCAAGTTTCTTTCTTTTAGGGTAATGTGATATTGCTGGAGATGGCATGTGATGAGCTGCCTGTTCTTCCTAACATAACAAATTGTGTGAATTAAATCATTAACAAATATAATTCACAACAATAAATACAAAAAGAAGTAAAAATCAATATACTCTGTGTATCTTTTTTTGTATAAAAGTTTCTTATAATTTCAAAATCTTTTTAGACTTGTTTAGTTTAAACACCGATTTAAATGAAATTTTGTTAAAAATGTTTTTGAATATGAAAAATAAGTTATCATAAAATATTGGAAGTATGAAACCCAACCCTGGCTTCCCAAGCAAAACGAAATGGTGTAAAATCAGCTAAATCAAGTAAATTTGATGGTACCCAAGAAAGCATCTGGGATCTGCAATTATTCATGTTGGATTTCCTACATTAAACAAAGATCATACAAACAAAAAATGAATGGCAAATGACAATACGGCAGACTCTCGAGTATTGGACTATAATAAAAATATCAATCAACTGGTAAGTGAAATATTAAATTAGGATGATCTCAAATCACTAATTATCAACCTCGTCAAATTTATAATATATTTGTCAATATTCAGGCAAATAAGTGAAATTGAATCCAAATCAATATCATCTAAATATATAAAATTGCTTGTCCTGACTGATTCATCATCGCCCAGAGCAAACCGCTAAACCTAAAGAGGTGAAATTTGGTACACAGTTAGGGTACGTCATAAAAACATGCACTAAGAAGAGATTTTTTGAAACTCCCCCGCGGGGGAGAGGGAGAGGATTAAGGCTTAACCAGAAGAATGGCTTCTACTGTATTATTTTAGATGCAATTATTTTGTGTTTATCTGCGTTTTAATAGGGTATGTCATGGAAATGCACACTAAGAAGGGATTTTTCGAAATTCCCCTGCTGGGGGAGAGGATTAAGGCTTAACCAGAAAAACGGCTTCTACTGTACTATTTTAGATGCGATTTTTCGTTTTCAACTACATTTAGTCTTCATTGAGTATTTAGGTGTATTAAATTGATAAAAATATTTTTAACAATGTCTGAAATGTTATCAATTTCTATTTTTAAAATGTTCGAACCGTTTTAAATTCAAATTTGTTATTGCATATTGGTTTGATTATAGAACGATTGTAAATGTTCTAGAAAATTGATCAAATTAAAAACAGTTCGTTTGATTCTCGGCAATTCTCATCATTCTCAGTGGTAGATGTTATATAACAATTACTACGGTTGTTGAAATACTGAGTATAAATGGGGTTTGCTTGCAAAATCCTCGCAGGCAAAGCCGCAGGTAACAGCTAGTTAGTTAATAAAGCTATCAGTTTGTTAAGATAATCTAATATATAAGTAGAATTTTGTAAGTTAGTTTGTGGCAGAACTTTATCTGTTTGAGACATTTGTAGAAATGTTTGTGTTGGCATTGAATTTTGCTTTCTTTCTCTTAATATTTTTTGAGAAATTTTTCTTGTTTACACACTTTCCTACAAACCTGTTCCATTGTATTTTATTAAAAAAAATTTGTGAAAGCCCAGGAATTTCTTTTGAATGACCATAAAAATTCATTTTAGCAAACAAATCCACGACATCCCTGTCTACATATCCTGCTGAGGTTTTTGTTAAAAAATGTATCATTATTCCAAGAACTCATCAGGCATGCACACACTCATTGCTGAAGTGTTTACGAGGGAAGGAAGGAACTAAAAGTACATTAAATCTTCATCTAAAAAAGCACGGTTAAAAACCACATCAATAAACATTCATCACCTTGACACAAGTCTGTTACAACTACCTGAGCATTACAAATTTTATTAAAAAACAAATATTACATTAGCTAGCAATTAGTCAACACCTGTAGTTATCAACTAACAAAACACACATGGAGTTTCTAAATCTGTTCAATGCTTTCTTAAGGTAATCCAAACATTGCCAAGCACATTAAAAAAAAATAAAAAACATATTTCTAGTCAATTTCCTTTTCTTGTTTTTCAATATATATAAAACTTAAATTCATACATTATTAAACTGCTTATATATTTCTATTTACAAAATTTTGTTAATACAATATCCCCTTGTTATATCGCACTTGTCGGGCGAGAAAGAAAAAAGTGATATATCTGGCGGCGAAATATAACAGAGTAATAAAAATCTGGGCTTATACTAAACAGATGATACAAGCTATGAAAACTCTATCCTGCATTCTTTCATCGGCAAGTGTTTCTTAATATACAATTGAAAATTTAAAAAATAAATATTGAACATACAATAAAACTTCAAAACTTATAAAATTACAAAAAGTAAAAACTCTCTAAAAAGCAAAGTTAATACAGTATAAAAATGTCAGAACTTTCTGTTCAGAAATAAAGAAATTTTTTTCTTATACATTTTCTTGTAGATTTGAAATTTCACACCTTTACGTAAATTGACCCAATACTGTCAATTTACAAAAATGTAAAATTTTGAATTCACAGAAACTTGTATATGAAAAAACAGTACTTAAAACCAACAAACAAATAGTGATAATTGATCTGTCCACCTGTTTTTCTTATTTAGATCTTAACAAATTTATTGTTTCATCTGCAGTGGGAGTTTCGAGGACAATGGTAGGAAGAAAATACCGTATTTTGCTGCAAAAAAAAATTCAATGGAAATTGATATTTTAAAATTTATTGACTCAAATGCTTTTAAAATTTGGGAGACCAAGAAAAGCACTACATATCTGAATCCGCAATGTAACAAGGGGCTACCGTATAAGCTAAAATTAATAAGAGAAGCCATACTTTTCTATTATGGAATTTTTTAAAATCATATCATCATTCCCGGAAAAAAAACCAGTTATTAAATTCAATGTATAATGTATAATAAAAACTATAGTTTAAAAAACTGCATTTGGCAGAAGATAAATTTAATAGTTTGTAAGATTTAACACACTAACAGAACAAACATTTCAAGTGAATACTTGATAAAAAATTAAAGACATTATAGCTCACTATATATGGAGATTTAAATATTAATTCATATATATATATATTTACATGTATTCACAAAATTTTTAAATATAAAAAATTTACCTGTTTAAAATTATAAATTACTTCATCGGCACAAGCATCCATTTGTATACTGGCCCAAAACCACTAAAAATAATTGAAGAAAATGTTAATAATAATCTCCTTTCACAGTAATCTCAAATGATAAATTTTATATCAATTAAATATACATTTTAAATATATAAATTTCCCAAATAATTTGATATCTTTTTATCATAAAAATTAATATACAGTAATGTGTGTATAAAAATTATGTACAGCAAAACCCGTGTAAACTGAAATTGCACAACACTGAATATTTTATCTGGTGTGACAGGTTTTTGCTCTGAAAAGTTCTTCAACAGAAAAAAATTGCTCTGTTTCAAAGAATGTTATCAATTTAGGCATGTTTATATCTTATTCAGATTTTACATTAATTAAAATCCATTTATTTCTCATCAATTCATTAAGAGAATCTTAAAATAACATTTTTGTTTATTGGTCATTTAAAAAAATATCACTCAACAATATACATTTCTTTGACTCTCTCCATCCTTTGGACACTAAGAGGCACCCTTTCTTAAATCATACCCATTATGGATTTGACCCCAAATGCAGCAACCTGTTGGCGAGGAATGAGACCCAACATATTCCAGATAAACTTAGAATTTTTTGGAGGTGGTCTAACTGCTTTAATTTGATCTCGGATTCTCAGAGAAGTAGGCTGATGCCTTAAATGCTTCAAGCATTTAACATTTTAACAGTAGTAAATAGATTTATCATGAACATGTTTTAATTAATTATTTTTTTTTAATTTAAAAATTTCAAAAAGTTAAAAGTGCACAAGAAATAATTAAAATAAAATCAATAATAATAATAATAAAGATTTAGCATTAATTAAATAAAGTAATTAATTATTTTAATAAGGTTTAATTTTTTTTTAATAAAGAAAATTTTTTAAAAATGTTTCATAATCAGGAACACTTGAAACTAGCAGTATTGATATTTAAACTGGCTGTATAAACTGTTCCATCATTCTTTAAATGTCCATACACTTTAAAAAAAACAAAAAAGTAACCTATAGATGAACAGATGGCTGAGGTTGTAAAGACATTAGCCTGTCAATGTGGAATGTGGGTTTGAGTCCAGATCAAAATCTGGACTCAAACCCACACTCCAGGAATTTTTAATGAGTCCTGTACAGTATATGTTAGGCCCTGCTCTACATAAAATTAAAAATGGCCTCTTAGTTCCCTTGAGTTGGAAAGAAACTACAGAAAAAGACTAATTTTGTAAGTTTCAAGCACTCTTGGTATATTTTTATATTGTAATATGTATTTTCTTTAACAATTATATATATGAATTATTATTAATTTACATTTAAACAATCTATGTTTATTGATTACCTCAGAAGTTACTAAATGGGTTTTATGATTCAAACAGTTAGATATACTTTCGGGAATTTCTGTGCGCTCTTCTAAAACTAGATGTGTGCAAGAATGATCAATTGTTTCATGTACTTTTCCACCTTAAAAATAATAAATAAGATGAATATATAAACAGTTAAGAATTAATTTATATAGAAATTTTTTATATAACAACACACAAGAATTTTAAACAAAACATTTGAATCAAATATTTTTAAGTTTATTCTAGAATATAAAATGTACAAATTTGATTATAGTTTATAAAGCAATTGAAATATATATATTTACAATTAGTTTTACTATTAATTGATAGTATATAATCGCAATTTAATACATTTTTCAAGTCATAGTCAGGATAAATGAAATTGTGATTTACCTTCTATTTTATACAAATATTATAAAGTAACATCAAATTAAAAATATTAATAAGAAAAATAAAATAAAATTTTAATTGAACACTGATGATTTCTTATTCAATTGTATGTCAATTAAAATTTCTCTAACTTATTTCCATGTGCCATATAACGATAATACTGTATCTTTAATATTTCTAGTACACTTCACAAACTTTTTTCTTGTACACTTCACAAACTTTTTTCTTGTACACATTTTAAAATATATATGAAGAGTATATGAATGGAAATTACTGTACATATTACATCATATTCTAATAATTATCAAACTGTAGATTTTCAGGATATAAATATGAAGGAAATTGACCAATGAATAAAATGAAACATTAAATACAAACTAAAGTGCAATTAAAGAAGTGCATGTATTTTGTTTAGATTTTAATCAAATTATACAAACTTGCATCTATTAATACAATAAAACCTGAATTTCATATCAATTGACAATTTAAAAAACACAAATGATATAAACAGAGGACCAAAGAACTAACTTGAAAACAATGATGATAAAAAAATCCAAGGACTACAAATATATAACAGTATCCCTCATATAACATGGTAGTTACATTAAAAAAAAATGCAGTGTTCTGCAAATCCATGCTATATAAAACAAAAAACTAATGCAAAACACAGGGTTAAGTTCCAAAAGTTAACAAAAGTGTACTACAGTAGAGCGTCGTTTATCCGAATCAACTGGGGACTGGGGTTGTTCGGATAACTTATTTTTCGGATAACCGATTATGTATGAAGAAATACATTAACCTCTCCTGTGTTGAAATTTTTCTCCGTTGCATGTCGCTTTGCATTGAATTTTCGTCGATGTTAAGCCTAATATAAACTTTTTAAAATAATAATCATGGCTATTGTATCATTAAAAATTATTTCTTTATTTTTTACAAACAAAATAAATATATTGAAAAATATAAAAACAAAAAAATTATACTTTAGAAGCATCATTTTTGCTAT